CCGTCCCTGATCAGGATTTGATCCTGTGACTTTCCCTCAAGGGGAGCCATAGAGGTGCCATCTAAAGATTCTAAGCACAATATGCTTGGCTGACAATTGAAATATTGTTGCTGCTAACCTATCCAAAATAACCTCAGAAGTAAGCTTAGTTATACGAGAGAATGTTAAAACATCATCTATTAATGATAGAAATTTTTGAACTACAAGGTTATTAGGCCTTGAAATGAAAATATTAAAGCTCTCAATCTACCCAAATATATTCTTATTCTACTTATTCTTCAAATGGACTTTCCTACATTATTGAAATATGATAAAAACACCGAATAGTGGTCATTTCGAGTGAGTTACAACTTCAAACACTTTTCTTCTATTTTCGCTTTTTTTTTTTTTTGGTGAGTAAAGAGAGACTAGACCTCAAGGTTATCTAATTCTGCGGACTAGCGCTCCTCCAGCATCACTGACCAGATGATCCGCCAACCCTTCCATAGCTTCGGTGAACACACAGGTGCCCCAGTCTCTCTCTTGTGCTAGGTTGGTTAAGAAGTCGGCACAACAGTTCCCTTCCCTGAAACATGAGTGAAGAGTATACCATACCCTCAAATTTCTTGACCATGTCCATGCAGTCCTTTAATAATGATCTAGCGCATTCAATTGCAAATCAGCATTTTAGGTTCATCAAGAAATGTTGTTATCATTTCCATAGCTTCATTTTGGCTCCTAAAAGCATCATTGTGGATATGTAACCTCTAATCTTGATCAAAACATGCATAATTCTTTACAAATTATGACCATTTGCTTCAATATTACGTAAACACAAACAATACTCAATTAAATGAAAAAATTTGACTAAAAATTATCTTGAAAAAAAAAAAAAAAAAAAAAAAAAACCCCAAGAATTCAAGGTAAAAGTAAGCAAATATTACAGTTATCACTTACCCATATGATCTTCATTTAGTTGAACATAACAAATTTTTTGTTGGGTCATAATAATTCTCTCCCATAACCACTACGAGTGTGTTTCATTTTTCTTAAAGACAATGAAAAATTAAATAAAGTCAAAATTGAGTATCAAATTCTTCTCCTAGTCGCACAACAACAAAACGAGTTCAAGATCGATTATCATAGTTGCATTTTAGACGGAGTGGAGTTTGTCAATGCCGCCGTGAACAACCTCAAGCCTCCGCCAAAACCAAAAAGAAACCACCATTGAAACCCTAGCAATCCTTTGTAGGATTTCATTTTGTAGTGTATGTAGTTACGACCTGGCCTCATTAACTTTTGTGGTATAATTAGTGACTGAATTTGTATTAATTAGGGTTACATTTAACAAAATCCTCAATGCTCCCCAATTGTGAAATTGTACTTCATGCATTCCATCTTATTTACTTTCAAAGGTTAATTCCAATTTTGGTCACTTGATTCTTGAGTTTTACCGTATTATGTGATCATTATTATTTAGTTTAAATTAAAATCAATTAAATTTGATCTTTGGAGCAATAAATGGCTCCATCCATGGTATGGGAAACCCCCAAAAGTCTTGGTGGTCAGGGAGGCTTTGTCCTAGCTCAAGGACGAAGGTTGGCACGAGTTACAATAGAAATGGATTGCCTTAATGTTTGTCAACTCCTAAATGTTCCATCTCCAAATTTTTTCCATGCGGGCTGTGTCATAAATGGTTGTTGAAAATTGGCTAGGCACTTTGATTCAGTGTCCTACCATTTTATCTGTTGATCAGCGAATGTATTAGCTCATACATACTCTTACTAGGGCATCATATTCTCAGTATGGTCATTACGTTACGCATTTTACTATTCTTCCTTTATTCATCACTTTTTTTCCTGAGTAATTATCATTCTTTCTTTTGTTTTCAAAAAAAAATAATTAAATATGATCTTTAACTATTGAAAATGTGTCATTTTTAGTGTGTGGTTTCTCTTCTTGTGTTGTCTTCGATTTTTTCCTTTTCATAACACTAACATAATAAGACCCCCGAAAATTTAAAGGTTAGGGTAAAAAAGTTTTATTTGATAAAATATAATCTAATTAGCTCGAAATTGATAAATTTGATGCCTTGAATGAGCTAATATGAAATTTAGTTGCTAGCTTGATAGCCCAAACTTCTCAAGGGCTCAAGGCTACACTTTGTTGTTTAAGGAGGGATGTGGAACAAAATATACAGAGGGAGTTTGTAAAAAAGCTCATCTTTAGCATTTTTATTGAATTTGTAAATAAAATTTTAATAAGTATATTAATAAATTTATTACAAATACATTATTTTTATGAAAATAAATAATGAAAAATAAAAAACCTTATTATAATTAGCCACCAAAAAAAAAACCCTTTATTATAATTATTATATTATAAGTGTAAATATATTAATTATTTTTAGTTTAAATTTTCAAATGGAGTTTAGATTGACAAAATGATGTATAAATTTTTATTTATTAGTGTAAGTACTAGTTTATTAAAATGTTAAAAGTTTTAAGTAAGCCTTTCTGATAGTCTAATGGTTTAAGTTTAGGGTAAAATACTTCTCAACCATCCAATTAAAAATTAGCTCGATAAACTTAAAATTGATTAGACCGATAAAATTGGTTCAAATTAATAAGGTTAGACCGATTAATATCCCTACATATCTATTTGTTGTTTGGTATTGTGGACTCATCTCTTCCCTCGACAGTTATAATTGATTGAATATACATAGTTGAATAATCTATGGAAGCTTTACGTGTAACTTGACGTTGATGTGGATCGGAGGATGATTTTTCGGTGGGTAAATTTCTTCAACTCAACTATATATCACTTTGATTTCAAAAAAAAAAAAAAAAAAAAAAAAAAACTATATATCACTTTGATGTTCATGTGAAGTATGATTGTGAGTTTGTGACCTCAGCTCAATCCATCATCTCATCTTTCCCCTTTCGTTCCGGAACTACACTACACTTTAAACTTTACACCTACGTACGTGAAGCATCATGCTGCTCTTATCTATTGTGGCCTTTCCAAAAAACACAAGTTTCTTGCGGATTGGCTAAAAAATATAATATAAATTTGATAAAAGCGGAATAAGTTATTTAGTTTTTTTTTAAGAGAAAATTACACTTTTGATCCTGTGACTATTTGGGTGTTGTTAATTTCAATCCACAACTTTAAAAACTAACAAATTAGTACCACAACTATGCAATTTTTAACAGATTTGATCCACATGGCCAATTTGCCGGCAAAATATAACTGAAAAGACAAATTTACCCTCAAATTTTTAAAATAATAACTAAAATTAATTTATGTACGACTTCCGGTGGGGTACAGTGATCTGCGCCAGCGACTGGAAATTGCATTTGACGATAGTGTTGACGATAATCATGATTCCTGGTATGTAAAAACATATCATCTCGGAACTCAGCCTGCAAATCTGGACTAACCGGAAAATTTCTATCAAATCCTAACCTCGGACAACGAAATTCCCTTAGTGGAAACGATGAAAAATCATGATAATCCGGGGGAAATGCGAAGTATGTCCTCACAGAACTATCCGCAGGCATTCTGGAATTATTTTCCAGCATTGACCATCTCATATGGGACACTGATACCAGGTAAAGGGAGTGGGTCCGTTCAGCGTACTAGACAATTCCGACGAAGAAGACGATCTCGGTGGAGATGGTTAAGCAGCGGTGGTAACGGTAGAAAACAAGGAGAACGGAGAAAGACTGAACAATGAGGGTGAGGAGTTGGTGGTGCCATAAGTTGTCTTCTATGTCGAAGTAGGTGATGGCGTGGGGGCCGCCCAAGTGGAGCAAGAGGAGGGTGCCCAGAAAGCCTCCAGGAGGGACGATTTGGTGCCGGCAGCGCCTTCGTAGTCGGAGTTGCTATTGATGAGGGCTATGTCAAAGGTTGAAAAGTAGTCGGAAAGTAAATAGGCACACTAGATTGTTAGGTGGGTGAACCCTTTCTTTATCCTTTTTCTCAACGACGCAAGGAATTGCCGGACTCCGTTGGCATGGCCACGGGAAAAGTAAATAATTTAACTTTTCAATTATTATTTTAGAAATTTGAGGGTAAATTTGTCTTTTCAGTAATATTTTGTCGGCAATTTGGCTAGGTGGACCAAATATGTTAAAAATTGCATAGTTAAGGTACTAAATTGTTAGTTTTTAAAGTTGTGGATTGAAATTAACAACACCTCAATAGTCATAGGACCAAAAGTGTAATTTTCTCTTTTTTTAATGAAAAATGTAAATATATCATGGAACTATAAAAAATAAAAAATAAAATAAAAAAACTCTAAATAAGTCATTAAACGTGAAAAAAATGATATATGCCCTATAGACCAATTTTAGCTTATTTGACCACTGTTAATTGTTTGATTTAGTTAAAATATCAATATAAATGTTTGCTTGAGAAAAAGAAATTATACCAAACAGCTATCAGCTAACAGTCATTTTACCAAACAGGACCATCTCCTACAGCAGATTATAACTTATTAGATGACACACTAAATTTTAAAACTATAAACCATCTCCTACAGCAGATTATAACTTATTAGATGACACACTAAATTTTAAAACTATAAATCATATATATATATATATATATATATATATATATATATATATATGATAATTTGCCACATGTCCAAATCTATTATTATCTATACAAATCAAACGGATCAGATCAAATCAAATTTTTTTAAAAAACATATATATACAATTATCGTCAACTTCACTATACATTTTAATTTTTAACTTTGAAAAAAAATCAAATGTTATTTTAAAGAATCAAATATTAAACCCTAAGTAGTAAAATGTGAATCCTAAACCAAATAAAACTAAAACTCTAAAATTCAAATCCTAAAAAAATCTAATCTGATTTAATTTGTCATATTTTTTCATTTCATCCAATACATACATACCTATATATAAAATAGAATTAAAATTGAAAATATAAATCTATTAGTAGTAATCCATGTATTCATTTGCATACAACAAAAATGGTGAAAAATGGATTATTATTAAATTAGTGTTATTATATCCACAATATCGTATGAAAAAGTTGCATGCAACAATAATACTGAAGGCGCTATATATATTGCCTATATTAATTCTAAATCTAAAAATTTCCACAATACCATATCCAACACACAAAACATTATTTTTTTTTAAGCAGATTTTTCTCAAATCGCTTTCTTCGGTTTCTGTTTTTTCAAGAACATCTGACGCAGCTCAACAGCGTCCATCTCCTTATTATCTTCATCCTCGGGTCTATAATACCCTGTTACAGGATCCGGATACCATGAAGATTCCGCCTTGTCTTGGCCTTCATTTCCACTTTTCGGCGGCGTAGCATTGCTCTTTGCCGGACTTCCACTCGACACCGCTCCCTCCGCTGCCTCAACCGCCGCATATCCCCTCCTGCGGGCAACCAAATCGCCGCCGTTTTCAACCCAACATTAACGTTATATAAATTACATTAAAAAGTATTATTAAATATAAAAAAAATTATAAACAAAACGGGTAAAATAATATGGATGGAGTAGTACAGTATGTACCTGCAGGTGGCGGCGACGGATATTCTGTGAAGGACGAAAGAAGAGAGCTGTTTGGCTGTGGAGAATGTGCGAGCCATCTGAAAATTATAATTATTTTTTTTTTTGGAAGAAAATATTTATTTTTTTTTTTGGAAGAAAATTCTTATTAATTAATGTGTATAATATACGCCGCAGCGGCGAAAATAGTGGTTTCCGATGATTTCCCGACGTTCAGGCTTATAAATTACAGTGTTCTCTGATCGTCGGAAACTGCAAAATGAAGGGTTGATGGTTCTGTGTATATATAGGCACTGAGTGAGGAAGATATTAAATAAATTAAGGCCCTCAATACTCTGCTTGTTCGACACGTGGTTGGCCCTTCAAGCTGTTCCAACCCTTTTTGTAGCGTTTTTTTTCCCCGGTCACGGTTACAGTCAATCTGAAATTCACTGAGTTTTGTTTAGTTTTGCATTTTCTTTTTTTTTTTTTTTAATCTCTCAATTTTATTTTTTTTAAATCAATTTTAATCCAATAAAGCGATTATTACTTTTAGTTAGCCCCAAATGATTCTCAATATATACTTTTATTTTATTTGTTGAAGATGGTGTATTACAATTGAATTTTAAATTCAATTTTTAAATGTCATGAATGCTAATGAATTCTATTTTCTTTACCAAAAAAAAAAAAAAAAAAAAAAACTTGTGTTAAGCGAAATGTTCAACTGTTCAAGTGCTTTTGAGAGTTTAAAATTCTTATTTTCTCTCCCTCAAAAATATCTCGTTTCATATTAAATTACGAACCATTGAATTTTTTGTTGATTATCCGGACTAAAATTTTGTGAAAACTCCCTACATTAATCCCACAGCTTATTCAAATATTCAAGGACTAATGTTGATGGAGATATTGGAATCGGCCAAAAAATGGAGACCGGGGTCCGAGAGCCCAGAGTCAAACGATCAAAGATAGATGAACCGGACCAAAATGGAGGATTCGGCCCCAAGGCGATCAAGGAACCCGGATGATTGTGCCCACCCGGAAAGCGGGCACCCGGGTGGACGTACCAGGCGGCCAACCCCCGAGTCCCATAGGTCGGGCGTTATTGGGGTCAACCTCTGCAGCCGGCCCCCGGGCGGCTGATTCCGTCCACCTTCGTAGCCTAAGAGTATGGGTCTTTATTTAGTAATGTGGTTACCACGTATTTAGCCACAATTCATTACAATCGCCTTTGTATAAAGAGGCATTGTCTAATTATTACACCATCATATTCAGTTATTACAATCTGCTTGTAATATTCAGCCTCTAATCAACTCAACTTCACTATAATTCTTCTATGTTATCTAACTTTACCTCATTATATTATTTTATGCGAGCTTATTGATTCGAGTAAATATATACGACGGGTTATATAGTTCCATCATTGGACTAATACAATACTCGAACCGTCAATCTTTTTTTTTTAAAGTCTCGAACCGTCAATCTAAATGGGCAATTATTCAACACATTCACTAGCAATGCCAAGATCGAGATGAAGCATTCTTCGCACGAAGTATTGCATGGTCTTTTTGATACATATGTATGGGAGATTAAAGGCATTGGATCTAATTAATCTGATTGGTTGGTTTCGGTGCACTTAAAGATATGTGAACTTGACTAACTACCAAATTGATACGTGAATTTGACTAGATGTTGTCTAAAACTCCAAATCATGCATTGTCACTATTTGTCTACACCCTAAACCAATGTAATCATGGGTCATATCAAAGATATGATGTTTAAATCCTGAATTTTTTTGGTCCCATTTTATGAATTCGATTAATAGGATAGTATTGAAGCTATTTACAATTTAATTTTTTTATAATATATTAAGTTTAGTATAGTAGTATATAACATTTATATATTTAGAAATTACATTAAAAGTTTTAATAAACATAAATAAAAATTCAAATTTAAAAATTATAGAAAAAATTAAAGAAAATAAGCAAAGAAAAATAAGGGTTTAACCAATAAATAATAAATATGACAAATAAAATGAAATAGAGAAATGATAGACGGTGTTCCTATATTTTAATTGCTTTAAAAAAAATTGAGCAAAATTAACAGTTCATTATCTTATATTGCAAAGTGGAGTAACAATTCAAATTTAAAAACTATAAAAAAAAATTAAAGAAAATAAGCAAAGAAAAATAATTGTTTAACCAATAAAGAGTAAACATGACAAATAAAATGAAATAGAGAAATGATGGTATTCATATATTAATTGCTTTAAACAATTTGAGCAAAATTAAGAGTGTGTTTGGTTCATGGGTTTACACACTAGGAATGAGAATCAAAATTATAGTTATTGTTTGATTGATAACTTTTTAAACCTCATTCTCTATTTTTTTTTTAAAGGTACCATTCCATCTTATTGGTAATATGATTTTTTAAGTTTGGATTAGTACTTTTAAATTTTTGTTTGATCTTTTTGTTATATATTGGTACTTTGGATGTCATTATATTATGATTAATTGTCTTGATTTTATTTTTGTATTTTTAAAACCTGTATTCCCATTATAGGGTCATACATAACCAAACATCAATATTAGTAATCATTCCAATTCCACCCTACTACCAAACATGCAAATATGCAATATACTTTCATCAAAATCCATACCATTAACAAGTATTTGATTCTCATTCCAATTCCGATTTTGATTCTCATGTACGAACCAAACACATTCGTTATCGCATTAGCAAAGTGGAGTAACAAAAGAGTGGTAAATTGAACAATATAATTCACTAGTATCCATAGGTTGTGGATGAGATGACATAGATTTTTTCTAACTGAACCAGAGATCTAGAGTCCAAGCCTCTTAGTGCACTGAGGAAATCTGTGTTCTAACAAAAAAAAATCACTACAAGTAGTAGTAACATGTAGTATAGAATTTAATTATTCTTTTAATAATCCTTTATTATTCTATAATAATGTAACGATTTTTTTTTATGGTGCAAATATTATACACGAGCAAATTTCAATTTCAATCCTAATGCCACATTTAATCATACTCTTTGACATTCAATCATCATTTAATAAAAATAACTAACATGTAATTTTATCATTCAAGCCTATCAATCTAATATGTAGCTTTTCTACTCCTGAAAATTCTTATAATTGAATAAAGGAGTTACATTTACTCCTCTTTATTAATGTTGGAATTTAAATAAAAGACTTATTGTGGCAAGTACATAAAAATTAATGATCTAATGAGACAAAATTAAAAGAGTAAAACTAAATATGACAATAGCAAAATAGTTGGGAACTAAATGCAAAATTTCCTCTTATACACATTATAATGACTATTGGTGACTAGCAAAGCAGGGAAAATTACGGCGGGTTAATAATATTTTTCGTGACATCCGTGCAAGATAGTCGAATGGTATAAATACGGGTTTATATCATTCCACTACTCTCTACTCTTCCATATACAACATTTAAAAAAAAAAAAAAAAAAAAAAAAAAAAAAAAAAGAAGAAGAAGAAGAAGAAGAAGAAGAGGGAGGGGGGAAAGCAAAAAAAAGATAGATGTGTTAAATAGTCTCATCTATCATTCGCAAGTGTACAATTAACTCATTCTAAAATAAGATCTAATTAGCCACATTTATTTTTTACCTTGTGTTCATTTTCGTTAGGTAACCCTTCCATAATGCTGTCATGGAATTTAAATAAAAATAGTATGATGACTTGTTTCATTGTTGACTCATTCAAACCCAAAGAAAACCGCTACTCTCACCCCCCCCCCCCCCCCCCCCCCCCCAATCTTTACCACCATCACCGTGGCTGCCTATCTGAAAACAAAATCAACATCTTCTATTGGCTTTGCACAGGTTGGTGAGTGATAGCACTATCAACACACTGCACATACAAAATGAACAAAATAGATGCATCCATTAGTTGTCTAGTTCAAAATTTCCTGATAAATTTGGTTTCAAACACCTCATAGATTATAAGACATTTTATAATTGGTGCATGCCAACCTCAACCGCGGAAGCAAACAAGAGAAATGAAACTCCAAATTGTGACTAGGAGCACAATCCCATGAATAAGTTCTACCTCCGAGCATATTCAGGAATTAGGCGACGAAGAGTTTCAAGAGGGATGCCAGTGAGCTCTATAGCAAAGCATGAAAGGGCATGATAATAGACATATAAATATCATACAACCATAGAAAGTTTCAGCAACCCCATACTAAAAATATTGCACGCCCCCTCCCTTATTTTTATGGTACAATACCAGGTAAGTTCTTTTTTGGTAGAACAAGCAATAGGAAGATAAGTAGGTCATTAAACCAGAACCAGGTAGGCAGTAGGACTGGGCTTGGCATATACACCATGTAATCAAGTACAAGAAACAGATACATCGCTATTGTTTCTCTAAAATGAGGGAAAAAGACACGAGTTATAGTTATTTATAACGTTAACATCACAGCTGCTCAACATCCATATTCTAGTATCAAAACATCAATTAATTCTACATGCAGATAACTTGTTTACCAGTTTACTTTTTTGCATATGTAATCAGCATGGCGTTGTCGCCCATTATCTTGAATCCCTGGAGTGCCTGCATTGCCACAGTGGATTGCATCTCATCTCCGTATTCGACAAAAGCAATTCCAGGTTTTGCTTCCACCATTCTGACTTCCTTAAACCCAGTATATTGAGAAAAGAGCATTTGGAGCATCATGGGAGTTGTCTGATGCGGAAGATTCTGAACAAACAATATCTTGTTTGGAGGAGCAGGAGCTTCTGGTACCGCAGCAATTGCTCCACCCATATATGGTATCTGTGATAGCTGCAATTATTGAGAAAGGAGAAAGAGTATGGAGATCATTTTAGGTGAAACAATAGTGTTGATACTTGTTCATAAAACCCCTGATAATGACAAGCTGATCTAAAATACACTAAATTTTTGTACTTTTTTTTAACCCAAAAGATCAATACTAGTTAAATTTCAATGGAAACACTGAAACAAGGTACTCTCAAGGAAAATGCTTACAGGAGGGGTTGCACCGTAAGTGCCAACATATGCAGGATTCAGACCCATTCCGGCTTGATTAGAGTCATGCTGCTCCTTTTTCTTCTTTCCTGCCAGATGAATAATATAGTTAAATAAAAATATTGATACAAGTGACCAAAAATGTTCCATACCAAGTAAATGAAAAGGAAGGAAAAACACTACAAATAAAATGCAGATTTTTATTAAAGGGAAAAAAAAAAAAAAAAAAAA